TTTTTGGGTACTTTGTTCTTATTTCGTTTCCTTTTTGTCCTTTTTTCCCCTTCCCAGCACCTGCTTTACTCCACCCTTTTTTTTTTGCACAAAGGAAAGATCCGTCACTTGGCACAAAAAGGGAGGGACGTGTATTTTGTTTAAGCATTGAACAATGGCCCACCTGATGTTCACATTTTTAAGCTATTAGCAAATTTCAAAGTCAACAGAAGAATACAAGCAAAAAATGATTAACACCTTATTCGTGAACAAAAGTGTTCCCTTCCCCTTTTGTACATCAACGCATGTACCAAAGAAAGTTTTGTGTGTGCATCTATCGTCAAGCTTATTGCAATGTTCTAACAGTTTGTTTTGTTTTGTTTTGTTTTTTTTTTTGCAATTATCCTCATTTTTCGCATCAGACTTGGCCAAACCAGAAAAACTAATGAACCTTTCACTAAAGTTCAGAGTTATACGCTCGCAATTGCACGAACGTGAGGTTACCAAGTAGTGCACACTGCACAGTGTATTTCACCATGTACACGCAGCCCCCTCCCCCTTTTATGTGTGTAAAAAAAAAGAAATGCTTTTCACGGTGAGGAGAAATTATCTCCTGTGCATTTCACCTGAACTGTTCAGGTAAAAAAAAAAAAAAAATTGTATAAAAGAGTGTAAAAAAAAAATAGTATTACAAAAAGTTTAAAAAAAAAAAAGTTGTTTATCACAAGTTTTGCCTTATTCAACCATATATATATATATCATTTTAGGCATACGTAATAAATATTCTTTTTTTTTTTTTTGTTTCTCTCCTTACATGCACATTTATAATTGTTGATGATTTTATGAAAATACAGCTAAATTGAATTTGGAGCTACGGAAACAAGTCGGGGAAAAAACCCAAAAGAAGAAAAGAAAGAAAAATACATCAAAATCTGGTTATCCAAACATTACAAAAATAATTTTTATTAAAGGCAACCCACCAAGCTGAGGCAATAAAAAAAAAAAAAAAAAAAAAAACTCCCCCTGTGTTAGCCTGCTGAGAAAAAAAAAAAAAAAAAAAAAAAAAAACCCCCCCCGTGTTTGCCCGCTGAGAAAAAAAAAAAAAAAAAAAAAAAAAGTGTACCATCCCGTATATACAGTCGGACCAACAAAATGCAAACGAAAAAAAAAAAGGAAAGCGCCAAAGAAAGAGGCATATACAATCAAGCCGTTTTGAAAAAAAATGCAGTGGCTACAAGGAAGCATTCACAAACAAATTTAAGACACATTGATAAGTTAAAAATTTTGAGTGAAATAAATAATGAAGGAAAGAAAAAACTCCTTATGGAGGGTATAGAAAAGGTTAAAGAAAGAGCAAGTTGTTTAAACAAAACAGAGGATAAAAACTCCGTGAGGGGGAAAAAAAACAGTAGCAAGAATAACAGTCGAGGTACCGTACTCAAGTTTAATGAGCCAAACAAAAAAAAAAGCTTAACCGAAAAGCAGAAAAAGGAGCACAGCTATTGTCGTGTTTCCACTAAGGAGGATAATACCCACCACCCAAGGGGAAGAAGTACTAACACACAAGTAACACACAATAGCAGGAGAAGAACAATGGAGAACAAAAATTCCTCCTTGGGGAAGTTGCTAGTACGGGATGGCGTCAGGAAGGGAGATAATTTAGCCAAATTGCTCCAAGGATTAAGTAAAGAACGAATAGGAAGGAGCGAAGAAGGAGGGGGAGGTAAGGAGAACGCGCGAGGCCATGGCGAAGGGAGCATGAAGATCCACCACTGGAATACGAAGAGTGAAGATCAGAAAGGCGCAAAAAGTGATCATGCGAAAATTGCGAAAATTGCAAAAATTGCAAAAATTGCGAAAAACGTAACGAAGGAAGAAAAAATGAAACAAGCCAATGTGGCCCATGTGAAAAAACACGACGGAAGAGCAAAAAATAAAAATAAAAACAAAGACCACATTGTAATTGACGACAGTAACATTTACATTGTCATAGACGATCTAAATGAAAACCTAAACGATAGAAATGCAATAATAAACAAACTACACATTACCAACGACACGTATAATTTTTTAATGAATAGCAAAAATGAAATGAAAGGAGGGAAACGGAAGAAGAAAGCCAATTATTCCTTCATGGGGAAATCTCACGCTGTTAGCGCCAAGGGCGTGGACGGGGAATTTCTCCAAGGGGCAGAGGCTGATGGAGATGAGGAGGAGGATGGCTGCTGCGATGAAGGAGCACAGGAGGATGAAGAAGGAAGCCTAGACGATGATGAAGAGGATGACGACTTGTCCTCCGACTCCGAAGATGAGGATGAAGAGGATGAGGACGATTACGATTTTGATAATAAGAGCGTGTCCATAAGAGGCATCGGGGAGGAGTCCACTAATGATGAGCTCGACGATTTAGAGGACAGCGATATTTACGAGTCCTTTAAAACGGAAACGGAATATCTGCCCACGTTGGAGGAGACAAAGGAGGAGGAAGCGATGCTCGAGGGGGCCCAGGTAGGGGGTCATATGGAGGACACTTCAAGGAAGAAGGATAAAAGGTATCAGGTCGGCAAGGGGAATGGAGACAATGCTGGAGTAGTCGAGAGCACGAAGGGCTCAGAGAAGGACCTAACAGAGGACCTGTCCGAGAACATAACGGAGGACCAAACGGACGAAACCGACGTAACAGATGATCTTACAGACCAGGCGGAACAAATGAAAGATGAAGACCACGACAAAGATGCGAAGAACGAGCAGGCGGAACAAATGAAAGACGAAGACCACGACAAAGATGAGAAGAACGACCAGGAGGAGACAGTCGCCTCAGACAACCCTGAGGGAGACTCCCCTATGGGGAACAGAGGCAATGTCGAAATGAACGATGAGGGGGTTGTGAAGTCGGACGAGGCGCCTAACGTTAATTCGCTTGAGGGCAAATCAGAGCGGGAAGTCGACGCGGCAGTCGATGCGGCAGTCGATGCGGCAGAAGAGGACCAATCGGATCAAGAGGGGCCGCAAGGGAGCGAAGCGTCAGTCGTAACCATAAAGCCCCCAACACCAGGCCTGCAAGAATTACGTCACGTGCAGGAGGTGAAGGATCTACGTGAACAGGAGGACAAGTCGGAGGAGGACAAACTAGAGGAAGAGAAAAAAAGAAAAAGGAGAAAAAAAATGGACGAAAAGGAAAAAAGAGATCACAAAAACGGTGAACTGGATAGACTATATAAAAAGATTAATAAAAAAGATACAAATATTCATGGCGACGTGGTAAGGGAATGTGAAGAAAATTCAAAAGAAGGAGATGAATTTAATTATTCTCAGTACAGTAAGATTGTAAAATTAATTTCCATTTCGAAAAATATTTCAAAATATAATATAAGTGATGACACAACGGATGAGGAGAAAGAGGAAGAACTGTCTAACGTAAATTGTACCTTCAAAGAAAAAGGGGAAATTTTGAACAAGGAAGATAAGGACAGAAGCAAGCAAAAGGCAGTGCTACTTCCACTGCAGGGAGATATTGTGGAGGACAGTTCGATGGACAAGAGGGGAATCAAAAAGATCAGCGACAGGGATATTAAAAGGAGGGACGACTTGACAGACAGGAAAGAAGAAAAGAAAAAAAAAAAAAAAAAAAGAAAATATAATAGTGAGGTAGACAGTGGTGTAAAAACGGATCATCAGGGTAGCCTTAATAAAAATGACAACCCGAAGGAACCCACCCAAGGGGAGGAAGAAGATCTGATTAGCGGCGTCCACCAACCGACAGATGTTGAACCTGACAAAAATGTCCGTACGCTAAACAGTAAAAGGAAAAGTGAGCACCAAAGTGACGAAGAAAATGTAAGCAAGAAGTTGAAGACCGGGGGAGAGGTGGACGATGCAATAGACAACGGAGTGGACGAGGAAGCGGACGAAAAAGTGGACGCCGCCGATGCCGCGGAGGAGGAGAAACCCTCGGTGGTGCCCATCTTGGAGGAAAGCGCAGCTGATGGTGATGGTGATGATGGCGCCACGGAAGGGGGGAGACAAGGGGTAGAAGAACGAGTGGATGAAGGCGCTCCGATGAGCGAGGAGAAAAATGTCACCGAAGAGCCCTCGATTGTCGGTGAAAAGGGCGAAAACGATGAAGCCCCTGATGAAGTCCGAGCGGAGGAGCAGGAAAAGGGCGAAGATGAGGAGAAGGCGGAAGAGAGGCGGCCACCTGAGGAGCCACAAGCGGGGGAGGTACAGGGTTCAGGGCAGGAAGAGGATGTAGATGGCAAGGAAGAAGCCAAATCGATTGGAGACATGGCTGAAGAGGTCGCCCAAGAGGACACCGAGGAGGATGTCGAAGTGAGAGCTGTGCTGGAGGAATTTATAGAACAGGGCACCGAGACGGCTGAAGAGGACGAGGAAGTGGAAGAAGAGGTGGCCGCAGTGGTGGAAGAAATGGCGGCAGAGGAAGAGGAAAAAGAGGAGGGGGAAAAGGAGATGGCCGACGCTGAGAAGGACGCAGAAGAAGAGGACGTAGTGGAGCTGGAAGAAAAGGAAGTGTACGAAGAGGTGGAAGAAGGAAGGGATGACGTCGTGGAGGGAGAAGAGGAAAAGGAAGAACAGGAAGAAGTGATGGAGGAGGTATTGGAGGTGGAGGGTGAGGCGGAGCAGAAGGACGATATGGAAATGCATGAGGAGGATGGGGACGGGGTTTCTGCAAAGGGAGAACATGAAGAAGACCTTAACGTTGACGAAAACGGTAACGAAGAAGAAAAGACGGAGTCGGATCAGTTCGAAGAGGTAGTTGAAGAGGTGTACGAGGAGTATGTAGAGGTGGAAGAGGAGGAAGTTCGCAACAGTCAAAGGGACATAGTGACAGAGGAACCAGTGAACAAAGAGGATGCCCCTGCAATGGAGGCGATTCTCACCGATGCAATTCTCACCGATAAGAAATGTGACCCAAAGGAAAGGGAGGATAAAAGTAAATTCAGCGAAAGTGAAAATGATATTATCGTCAAGGGTAGTAGCAAACAGGATGAAGTAGCTGACCATTATATGAATGATAACGCATCGACCAACTCCGATTACACAGATTTGAATGCGTCCTTGAGGAATGAATCATGTGAAGGTGTAGAGGGTTGCGACGTGGACAAGGAAAACACGCTCAAACCGTTGGAAGAGTTTAGCGGCGGAGAACGCGTAGCTTTGGTGGAGGAGGAATGTGATGAGAGCATTTGCAACCAGGTGCAAAATGAGGCATGAAAAGGGTACAGCCCATGTAATGGACAAACAGTATCCACGTGTGCGGCGCTTTTGATTGAGTTTTAAACGGTGGAAATGTGACAAGGTGAACCTTACTCCACGGCTGAAGCAGTTATAGGGTTATAATAGTGTGCACCACCGCAAGCGTAGAACAGACGACTACCCCCCACTTAAAAGGAGCACATCTCACTCACGGAAATTGCCTACCCGTTTTGGTTCCCGCAAATTTGCAAGCTCCCATGCGTGTCATGATTTTTATTAAAAAAAAAAAAAGAAAATTACAGAACAAACCAAATTACTGAAAAAAAAAAAAATGCGAAAAAAATACAAAAAAGATACAAAAAAAATTTTTTTTTTTTAAACCCACATATGTATATGATTATACAATAGTGCGTCCCATCACGTACAACCAAATAATGGGGCGAGTGAAAGAAAGGGAAAAACAACGCGTCCGTGTTTAAATAGGTAGCATGTTGCTACCCTACCCCCCCTGCAGGTCTAATCACACATGTAGGGCCCAGCATGCTAATCAAATGTTAAATGAGTTTCTTTAATAATTTCACCGAACGCGTCTTGGCATTTCCCGTGGCGTACTCGCCATTTCGCTTTTTAATTTTTACCCCCCCCCTGTCAGGAATAAAGATAGGAGAATCAAATGTGCATGTAGCAGGAGGCGCCCAACGCGAATCGTTTATATATACGTGTGCCCCAGGGTGAAATCTCTGAGCAAGCATGCGTGTGGATGTGTGCATGTGATGTGTTATATGCACAGCTTAATCCTTTACCCTCATGAATTTTTAAATTTTCAAATTTTTTTTTTTTTTAAAGCCCGTCTACCGAGCAACACGCCGGCTGTACTATTTACCACACTAAACAATGGTGTATTTTTTTTTTTAAATATTATGTAATTATTATGTAATTATTATTTATTTATTATTTATTTATTATTTATTTATTATTTATTTATTATTTATTATATATTTTTTTAATTTTTTTTTTTTCCACTTCAACATTGCAATACGTTGCTCAAAATTAAAACTTGTTTAAAATGTTTTGTCGTGTGAAAATATCAGTCGTTTACCTTTGGTGTGGAGGGAGAGTTCTGTCTCCGCCAAGAGCGTTACACAAAAGGGGGCTTGGCATGAAGAAGAAGCTCAACCAAAACCGTTCCTTTTCGTGATCCTCTATGTGGACATAACAGCGTGGAGTGGAACGTGGTCTGGGGGTACACTTGTCTTTAGTGAGCGGGGAGTATGCAAAATGTATGAACACATGATGGATGCATCCTCCCCCTAAAGGGATAAATCTCCCACAAAGAAAAAGAACTGTTGCATCCCTTTACCTTTCATCATTAATAATTTTTTTTTAACAAATGGGATAGGCACCTGGGGTTCGTTTAGGGTTTCTCCAACATGATTGACACGATCACGTAAACGTGATTATTATTTATTTATTTATTATTTTTTTTTTGCATTACGAAAAGTATAACTTCACCCCGCATGGAGCACTTTCCTTTCGTTTTTCGAAAAAGGCACATTTCTGGGCTGTAAAAAAAAAAAAAGGGGAAAAAAGCCCCCTTCATTTTGGCGCAGCTTGGAAGTATAATTTTTTAAAGGGTTAAAAAAAGGAACTGATGTGGGGCACGGTTCCCCCTTTCTACGCGCCGCCGTACAAATACGTACATAATATGCCTCACGTATGTCACCCTTCATATGGGTGGTAGTACATTGCGTACGTATATCCAATTTACTGGTAGGCGTAGGAATGCGCACTGGCAAGGGGGCGGATGCGGGTAGGGCTCGGGGCGACGGTCACCGCTAAACGGATGGAAGGGGGGTTATGTAAAAATATGCCCCACACCCGGTATGCGCACTGAACCATTTGGGGCAAGATACGCTAATTAATGGGTACCGCGCGACGGACAAAAAAAAAAGTTAGTAAATTTAAATTATACCTTCCCCATCGTCGCTTCTATTTTTTGCGCATTTTTTAAAAATTTCGGCGGAGTGCTAACAAACTCGCATAGAGGAACAAAAATACCGGGGAAGCGATACAAAAAACAAAAAAAAAAAAAAAAACACCAGTCAATTAGTAAAATAATTCCCTACCAACGTATTTAAGTAATATACGCAAACAACATATTGGAACAGTAACGTAACGTACGAGAAAGAAGCAACGTATATTTATTGAACCAAGGCATGCGAAGCAACCCCACAGTTGTGCTCATCGAAGGAAAAGTCCTGTTCCCCGTTGTTCCATTTTTCCACTTCAACACAAAAAAGCATTAAAATCGCAAAACAGGCGAGGAGTTATATATATATATATATATTAATCCACGCACTGACGACAAACTTGAACTTTTTTTAAACCACTGATTGATTTAGCTTACCTCAGAGAGGAAAGAAAAGGCCCCTCCAACAAAAGGGAAACCCATCACAAGAAGCACATTTTAACATCTTCATTCACTTAGTCAAAATGGTAAAAGAGAAAAATGGAAAAATTATATTTTGTTTGAACTCCCCCACAAATGGGATTTATCACGCATTGATTATAGTATATAATGAGAGAGGGGGCCGCAGCTGAGAAGAAAAAAAAAAATGGTGGTTCTTCCTAAAGGCGAACTATATATATAACTAGCATATAAGAATTTGGCCACCTTGGGGGAAGAAGCAAAAAAAAAAAAAAAAAAAAAAAAAATGAGCTCTTGAACGCAGAGACGAAGCGGATGCGTTGCCGCTTGGACCCATATGACAACATGTGATCACCGCTCGCACCCCTCCTTTTCCCCCCTTTTGTAGAGTAACATTAAAGCGTTTCAATTGAGGCCCCTCAAGAAGAAGGAGCTGCTAGATAAGCTGGAGGATTACAAGAAGGAGCTGAGTGGCTTACGCATAAGCAAAGCCATAGGGAACTCTGCCAAGAACTCCAAAATACACAGCGTTAGAAAGAGTAAGTTTTTTTTTTTTTGTGAAGTCGATTAAATCGGGGACTCTTTGTGGGAGAGCCTGCCTTTGGTTGTCCTTTTCCCCCATTCACACTACACACGTCCAAGCATAAAAGAAAATGCTCATTGAACTGTTTTTTTCAAATGTCCACACCCCCCCCTCCCCTTTCTCCTATATCCCTACAGACATCGCTCGAGTCCTGACGGTCTACAATCAAAGGAGAAAAATGGAATTGAGAAAAAAATACAAAAATAAAAAATTCAAGCCATACAACTTGAGAAAAAAATTGACCAAAGCCAAGAGACTCGAGTTAACCCCAAAGCAGAAAGCCGCCATGACATTAAGGTGAGAAAGTCGTTACAAATATGAGGGGGGGAAAAAAAAAAAAAAAAAAAAAAATGTTGCGTCCCTGTTTTTATGTTTACCATTCCGCTGAGAGGGAAACACCATCGTGTGTAATGTTTCACCTGCGTTTGCAGGGAACAGCGAAACGTTTTTAATCTGCATACACACATATATATATGTACATATATATATATATTTTTTTTTTCCATTTCGCCCACCCCGCAGAACGCAAAAGAAAGTGCAAAACTTCCCCAAGAGAAAGTACCTCTTAGTCCAAAAAGCATAAACGAATATACCTTATTGAAAGAGGAGGCCCCCCTTTTTTTAAGGACAAAATTTTATTTTCTTAATATGCCCGTTGTTGTTACTTTTTTATGACCTTTTTTTTCTCGCTGTTCATGCGGTGTATTTTTTTTTTTTTTTTTTTTTTTTTTTTTTCCAAGTTGGAACTTTATCGAGTGAAAAAGAACTTTAGCTAAACCATATGGAGAAATGATAAAAACGTGTCTTTTGAACTGCGCATATAGTATAACATTACTTTATGTAGTTGGTTAATTTTTTTTTTTTTTTGGGTGGGTGGGTTTGGTGGGGGGAAATGTATAAATAAGTCAAACTCGCGTGTGTACGTACAAAAGTGAATGTTGCACAAACACACGTAATTAAAAAAAAAAAAATGCACATTACGGAAAATGCTTCACCAAAAAAAAAAGTGATCAACTGTTCGCGTGATCGGTGCGACACTGCAATGTGTATGGGGGGGCGTTGCCATCCTGTCAGCTGCTCCAACAAGAACTGTTACACTCAGCACTTCCCCTCCCCTAGGTCAACATTTGCGGGTCGTCATGGAAGGCCCATACGTTGCTTCGGTTTTCCGCTTTATATATTCTCCTGTTCTTATCATTTTCATAAATATAATCGTACTTGTTAAAGACCAGTCGTCTTTGCTGCAAAGGTGGGATGGGGGATGGGGGGAGGTGAAGAACATGAGCAAACTCAGTTGTATACAAACGGCTCGTAATAATGGATATGCGATTGCCTCAGATGGGGAGTAGCTTTATCCCCCACTGGGGGTAATAAGAGGCAAGGGGGGGCGGGCACTCCGTTTTTCTTTTTTCCCTCATATGCAATATTACGTGTCCTATTTTGGAAAAGGGGATGTTGCTATGCCTGACACACACAGACTCGTCGATCGCGTCAATCCAGTGCTGAATGGGAGAGGGGTGGGTGGGTAAACAATAGGGTGAAGAAACAAGAGTAAGCAAAGCGGTGAAAACTTTGAATACATGTGCATGTCTCCACCCTGCAGGTGGTTCATAATGAACTGAACGTACCTCGCTAATTAGGGTAACCTTGGCCCCAGGGTAGTGCTTGTTAATCAGGAACCTAAGGAAATGGAGGGATCAGGGGAATTAACGAGGAAAAAAAAAAAAAAAAGGGGGAAAGGACAAATCGGGGAAAGCAACCCGTTGTTACCTTAAATAATTTTTAACTCCGTGAAAGTGGCTTAAATAGCCGTTGTACTTGAAGGCAAAGTGCCCCCGCTTCGCGCCCATTAAGGTGCATATGCCCATCCCCTTCTCAAAAAAAAAAAAAAAAAAAAAAAGGCACAATCGTGTTGCAATATTGCGGCAGTTGAGAATGGGCAAGAGCAGAACCACTCCATCTCTGCGCCATATGAAAGAACTAAGTGGACCCTTTCCCCTCTAGCCCACATATAAGCGCATTCCCTTTTTCGCTTTTCCCTTTGTGTGTGTGTTACATTTCCCTGGTCAAAGATGTTGAGAACGGCTTTAATTTTTTCCACTTCATTTGGGTCGACGTCCCGCTCTCCAAACACCATGTCGATGGGCGTGTGGCTTTAAAAGGGGGGGAGATAATATATATAAATGATGTGATAACGAAGAGGTGGAGAAAAAAGTAAATATGGACTCGCCATACATACTTTGGTGATACACCATCTGCGTGTGCATTAATTATGTGATCTCCTTTTGTCTTACACGTCATCAGTTCTGCCTGTGCCCATTTCTTCCACATTGTACAGGTAGCCAACATCGGGGATTTTGTAGCTATTTGGGTGGGGAAAAAAAAAAAAAAAAAAAAAAAAAAATTTATACACATATATATATGTATGTGTAACACCCCATATGCCGCTAGCAGCTGTGCGAAACCTCCATTGCTTCCCACGCGCAACCGATGGACCTACTTCTTCTGTGCAATGTTTGTACTTATGACGTAATCGAAATCTTGTGACTTCCTGAGCTCGCCATATTCAAAGTTGGGGTATATTTTTGGCCTCCTCAATTTAAAGGGTGAATCATCATAAATGGGGTACCCCCATAAGAAGGTCTTGTAGTTATGACCTTTGTTTATTCGGTTGGTGTGTCCCCCGTTTGTTTTTCGTGGGTGTAGGACGAACGACGGGCAAGAAGAGACGCCCCTGCGTTTAACGCGCAATGGTCCCACTCCCTGCTGGACGTGAAAAGCGATGCACACAAAAATGAGCGCAACGCATTTCATGTTTTCGCTCAAAAACAAAATATACACAACGCGAAGGAGAGGCATAACCAGGACACCAACTACCACAGTTCAATTGACAATTGACCCAGACAACCTTTTAACCAACTCTTATACACGTTAGGGTGGGGGGGGGGAGCCCACTGTGACATGGCTACTTAGCAAAAGGTAAGGAAAATGGCATTGTGAATTTACACATGAGGGAAATGATACACAATGTGCCGTAACAGGGGAAAACTCTTTTGTAATAAAAAAAAAAAAAAAATTCCTTAATTTATGCACAGAGGTTAGATAACAGGCATCGCGCAAACTTGCCCTTCTTGAGCCCAACCGGAAAACGGAGAAAGAAAAAAGAGGCAAAACATATTTGGGGGGTATGTGTACCGTGTATTATTTGTACGGTGCACAACTCTTGTGCTTACCCAAGTATATATATCCCCTCCCCCGTGTAATTAAAAAAAAAAAAAAAAAAAAAAATTACGAAACAGGTGCCTTCTCTCCCGCCACGCACTTGCGGCCAAAAAATTGACATAAATGGGTAAAAATTGACTTAACTTGATAAAAAGCGAAAGGCATCACCAAACACAGAGCAGCG